GGGTATGACATGTGATTCTTTGAAGGACTGATGTGGTGTGTGTGTGGGGGGGGCTCATTTGCTGAACTCCATCAGCCCCAGCCAGCATGGCCCGTTTCAGGGATGATGGGAGTTGCAGTCAAATGACATCTGTAGTCCAATAGGCTTCCAAATCCTGGACTAGACGCTACTGGGCCACATGGACCAATAGTCTAACTTGGCACAAGGCAGCTTCATACATGCAACCAAGGAACTATAGCTCAAAAGATTCTGTTTTGAAAAGTAGCCCATGTCCTGATACTTAAAGAAAACTACCTTTTAATTACATTGACTTCATTTGAACTCTCCAAGGATCACAATGATTACACAGCTTTAGGAAGAGAAGCAAAAGATTGTCACATTAAATCTGTGAAGACCTGGTTATTATGATGGCAAATTATGAAGACAAAATTCTGTTAGTTCAAGTCTAATGAGACATTACTGCACATGCTATGATGAATGCTAAATTATTGCTGTGCAGGTCTATGGCACATCAAACTGATGGCAAAATGAGGTTAATGCAAGCCTGCAGAGTTGACATTATAAATGTCAAGATGATCACAAAATGGTGACGGTGCAAATGTAGCATGATTTAAATACAGTGAAATAATTACAAAAAAATATGCTAAGCGGTGGAAATGAATCTACGACAAGACAAAACTTAAATAAACATTGTTGTTAGCATCCATCGGTCTCGCAAACAATGGAGTACACCTCTGGAGGTTAAGCCAAACCCTGGAAAATCACAGCACCTGCTGTGGCTGAAAAGACCAGTAATTCACATCTGCTGTCTCCCACATTGTTTTTGCTGTGGTAGCAGCACTGAAGTGACCTCTCTGGGAAACAAGCCTGGGCAGTGTGTATGGAAGTCTTGGGCTCCCCAGATGACAAGCCCACCCCACCCCCACCCCCGACCTTGCTGATGTGGTCCAAAGGAAAGCAGAGCAATACGTATGGTACCAGCTTGGCTGCAAGAGTTGCTGGAAGGAGGCTTACAAGACACCATACAACCATCTCAGGGACTCCAGATTATTGTAGGGGTTACACCTTAAGTCTTTCCTTCTCCCGAAGCAACATTAACCAAAGCTAATCCAATTTGGGGTGTTAATGAACCTGACAGCTATATATTACCACATTATAGCAGAAATTAAAATTGAATTCTGTAGGAAGAATACATACAAGCACCTCACCTTGGATAATATCAATACTGAGTAATCTCCAATTGCTAGTGCATATTTTTCTAGTGTAGTGTAGTGGAATAGCTGAAATCAGAGATGTTACTGAGAAAGTTCTCAGCATGAATATCACCTATGCCATTATGTTGCCTTCTCCTATCATTAACCCTTGATCTGCAACATGAAGATAATTGTTACCTTGCAGAGCTGTTGTAAAGATTTGCTGAAATAATATGTGTGAAGCACTTTGAATTCGCAGTATGAATTTGGCGGGACTGTTGTGTTCTGGTGACTGAAATTGCCACTTTCAAGAATTTCTCACAATAGCTACAGCAGGCTAGCCAGCATATGGAAACATCTTGAAGCTTGTATAATCTTTGTTAGCAGTGATTTTTCAATATTAGCTATGTATACAAGTACATGAAAAAACAGAGTTAGGTAGTCGAGATATAGAAGTTGCTTGTAGTTTTAACCATGCCAAAATGTGCTTTCCAAGGCTTATTGCTAACTGATTAATATAACATGGTTGTAGACTACAGCTTTGCTCCTAAAAAGAAAGAAAGAAAAACCTTTGAAAACGGCAGTGTTCATCTCTAAAAGAGGTTAACAACCTGAGTCACTCTTGTGCTAGAATCTGCTTCCTACCATAGCATAATTTCCCCAGTGAATGGCGTTTTGTACAATCTGCATTGAGAAAGTATGATGAGCTTTAATTCCGTTCTGGGCACAATACTGAGTTTAAGGGCCACTGATCTCCACACATTTAAGTATAATTAATTTTGGATTACACCCCCTTTAAAGCTGTATTACTCAAATTTCTAGCAGCCACAGCACACCTTTACTCAGCTAAAAGTCAATGACTTCTAGTATCTACAAAGAGTAAGAACTCGTTGGCCTCAGAGAAACCCACATAGTGGAATCCTGCACTGTTGCTTGAGGAGTGATTGGATTGGGCAATTATTGGCCTGCAGTTGAAGCTGATTGGAAGGCCAGAACAATGACACATAGGGATACAGCAATCAAGGCTCCTCAATAGATAAGCTACTCAAAGGAGAGATTAATGATGGCATGAATTTATTTCTCATGGAACACCATCATTTTTGCGCCCCCCCATGACATGCTAGTGTGGTCAGCAGAGTCTGGATATTACTCCCTTCACAGAGTGGAAGCTACATCTGTTGAACAGGATCCAATCATCTCTGACTGGCAGTTAGTGGAGAAATCCCCCTCCCCAGCACCACAGTCTGAATAAAAACTGAGCCCTTTTATTAAGATTTGATGAGACCGAGTAGTTCTGACTTGCTGAAAATATTAGAAATATACAAGGAAGAGCTATAGCTCAGTGACAGAGCACGTTTTGAAAGCAAAAGGGCCTTGGTTCAATCCCTGGCATCTCCAGGCAGGGATGGGAAAGACTGTTGTCTGGAACCATGGAGACCTGCTTTGAGTCAGTATACAGGGCTAGATCATGGCCCAATAGTCTGATTTGGTGTTAAGGCAGCTTCTCACTTAATCCGATTCACAGATCTACCATTTCATGTCTAATTTCGTCCTTAGTATCTTAGCCACTATGCTATACAAACTCTTTAGTATGCATAATTCCTTTTTAAATCCTGTAATTTTATACACTTTTACATAAAACAACAACAGGTGTAAAATTGCACAGTCTATCTGCTTTGGCTGCTGCACCTGTGATATTCAACTTCCTGACAATTACACTGCTAAACATAAAACGCTTATGACTGAAATTATCTTTCAAACAGAGTAGGTAGCATGTGACCTTTACACTGCTAACAAATGATTTCTATCCATCTAGAAGAGAAAACAAGAACAAAAAACATTATTTTCAGTGTGAATTTATTGTTGTGTGTTGGATAAGTTATCTATGCTATTGAAAACATTATTATTATTTTAAATAAATAAGTAAGTCATCTGCTTGTAAGGTAGTAAAACTATGGAAAACAAGGAGTCTGATCACAAAATAAAGACTGGCTATATTGTCCCCCCCCCCCCATTAGGCAGCTATTTATCTTGCTAGGAACAAAAATGGTATTATGCAGCAGATCTCAATGAAAGCAATATTGTATAAAATGTTAACAATGGGTAGAATCCAATAATAATACTGTTTATCTACATGTGCAAAAGAGTGATCCCATATCTAAACAGGTACTGTCCAAACATTGGATGTTTTCACATCAGTTCAAAATCGGGTCATTATTTTCAGATCAACTAAGGTGTTTTCAGATCAGTTTGAAGGTAACACAAGTAAATCCACATGGATGTCTAAAAGTCCATTTAAATACATGATGTCGAATGGATGTACAGGACACGGACAAGGGCATAGCCAGGATTTTTGTTGGGGTCAGGTCTTTTTTTGGGGGGGCAGGACTTTTGTAAGGGGGCAGAACCAATTGGTCAGTTAGTTAAGTATTTCTATTGTTTTACTTGATCTAGGGGAGCAGCTCCCCCCCGCTCTGCCCCGCTCCTTCTTGGCTACCCCATGGACATGTACAATTCTTAAGTAATGACAAACCATGGATTCATCAATCATGTGCTGAAATATCAATTATGTTCAAGCCTTAAGCTTGTTCACCTTATTTTTCACACTTCACATTGTCCAATTCCAATCCTCACTTACTTGTTCAGGTAAACTCCAATTTCCTTTACATCTGAATCACTAACTGTTGTTTGTACTTGCTCTCCAAAACAGACTGGAAACCACACTTGCCTGAATAAGCAAGTGTAACTAGGAAGTGTGCAAACCCAAAGCTTAAGTCGAAGCAGTTACGCTACGATTTGCCTTTATATGCCAACTAGCTCCCTGATAATGTTACCTGTTATTAGCAGCAACGCTTTATGTTTTGGAACTCACCCTAGAAAATCTATTGCATAATTGATTTGTCAAGCATCAACAATAATGAAAACCTTCCTCACTGTCCAAACTGACCCTACATTAAAGTCTCAGTAGAGGGTGAGCACCCATATACAATACACTTAGGAATCCTCCTTGTGGAAAGGATCATCCACACAAGGACAATTCTACAAATACTTGCAGCCATTTCAAAAGATACCTCATTGGGTTTGTCCACACCCACACACATAGAAAGCATAGGTCCAAGTGGATTTCTGCTTGATTCATGCTTTTGGGGCACGGGTCTGAGCAGCTTTCCCCTTGCCCCCTCTTTTCTCACGGAAAACCCACACTTTGGCTCTAAATCAGAGCAAACACCAATATGGAGAAAACTCTAATTCTCATTCATGGCAACTGAGCGCTAGAGTGGTTTTCCCTGGGGAAAGCAGCAGAACAAGAAGATGTGGGGATAAGCCCATAATCATGGCTTATTACTGGAAAGTTAACTAATATGCCTTACAGGTAAAAAGTATCAAATTTGAAGAAATATATAACCAAGCATAGTTCTTCTTCTTCTGTTTGATTGCCAATGGAGGTCACAATGGAAAAGCACATTGGTGACATGATCTGGCATTTCTGTCTTTACAGGCTACTTTTACCAGCTGTTAGTGGTTTCCTAAATGGTAGGAGCATCATTCACTTTTTGGACATCTCAGTTGTAAAATCAATGATTTAAATGCACCCGCTTTTTAGTGCACAAAGTTTTAAATGTTAGACTTTAGTTTTAATAATGTTTCTGTGAGCAAATGGACAAGAATGTTTAGGTCTAATGTGCAATTAAATTCATATAGCGCAAGAACAACAAGAGGTTAATTGTATTCCCAGAACTCATCAGCAGAAGAATTGAATCAATTTGAATTTAAATCGCTCTCTGTGTAGGTTTTCTTATTCTTTTTGTATATATGTTCTTTGTAAAACCAGCTCCAGATAGCAGCCCCACTGAGCTGCTAAGGTGGCACAGTATACACATAATGATGTTAGGGTGGCCACCTGCTCTACTTTATAGATGGCAGTCCTCTATCTGAAGGAGCCCTCTATGTGAAGGGCTGCCCTGTCCAAATTTGTTTTAAAGATCGAGAAGCAGAAGAAGAGAGCGTAAGACCCTCCACTCTTTTTGTTGCAAAATTCCATAACAAATCCTTTTATGCTCTTTCGGGATATACAGTCCTAAATTCATTGCTTTTACTGGGAATTAACAATAATCTATATTTAAGCATTGGATACTTCATTTCTTCTCCACCACAAAGAAAAACAAGTATGTGATAAGCACATGTTTTGTGTGCTGAATGTTCTGGGTACAGTCCACAGCATCTCCAGTTAAAAGGACCAGATAGTAGATGATGTGAAAGGCTTGAGACCCTGAAAAACCACTGCCAGTGTAGATAATACTGTGCTAAATGGACAAATAGCATGATTTGAGGCATATATTATTCCATTATACAGCAAGTAACCAAGAAGGACTCAGTGCGCTGCTCTGCCAAATCAAAATACATTGCTTAATCTCTTTCTGGCATCGTCTAGTTTGCAGACCTACCTTTTAAAAAGGCTTCACTTCACAAATGACACAGCCGCTATCAAAGGTAGTGCATCCCATTTTGCCACTTAAGTGAAATAGAAAGTGCTGCTTTGCCCTGCTGCCTCTGCTGCCTCCACCACTACCTACCTACCTACCTACCTGCTGTTGCTGCTGCCTGCTCTGCTACTGCCCTTCTGCATCCACCACTGGTGGAGAAGATGCCATGGGCACCAATTTTGGGTGAGATTTTGCACAAAATCCCATGAGATCTCATGCACTCTGGTGCTATTTCAGCTGAGATCTTACCCAAATTGATGTGATCTTCCCAAAACCAGTGGTGTATCTCTGCCGCTGGTGGAGGCAGCAGAGCAGGTGCAGCATCATAAGTGTGCTGCCTGAGGCGATTTTGCAGCCTGAAGCAGTGGCCTTACCCTGCCTAATGGCTGAGCCAGCTCTGGCTGCTTTGATATTGTCTGATGAAAATGGCTTCTTGGAATACAGTTGTACCTCGGTTTACAAACGCAATCCGTTCCGGCAGTCTGTTCTTAAACCAAGTCCGTTCTTAAATTGAGGTGTGCTTTCCCTAATGAGGCCTCCCACCGCTGGTGCCCTTCCACTGTTCAGATTCCATTCTTAGATCGAGGTAAAGTTCTCAAACCAAGACACTATTTCCAGTTTTGCAGAATTTGTAAACCAAATAGTTCTTAAACTGGACTGTTCTTAAACCCAGGTACCACTGTATTATGAACACTGGTGGAAGGCACCGCCCCCAGCACCATTGGGGAGGGGGGTACCATTGCGGCTGCCCCGCAACACGCACTGCGCCGTCGCCATGCCCCCGTGGGCAGTGCGCCACGCCCCCGGGACAAGCACCAGCCACACCCCTGCCTGCTCTCCGCTCCCGGGTGCCAGAGCATGCAGCTCTGCCACTGATTATGAAGTAGCTGTGGTAGATGATCAATATATGGTTATACATTACTTCTGTTGCAGCAGTTATAATGATGACATAGTCCCTCCCTCCCAAATGGTTAATTGTCATTTGCATCCATCTGTCTTGAGAGACGATGGAGTGTAACTCTGCGGTGAAGTCAAACAGTTGTGTTAGCAGCACCGAAGTGACCTCCCTAGGGCAGTGTTTATGGAGGACCTGGGCTGCCCAGATGATAAGACCCTGCTCTTGGCCTCACTGATGTGGTCCAAAGAAAAGCAGAGCTGTATGTTTGGCACCAGCTTAGCTGCAGGAGTTGCCAGAAGGCGGTGCACCAGATTTTGCTCCAGATTCAGCTAGCTCTAAACAGTCTGTGAACCATGTAATTCACAGCAGCTTACTAGCTCTTTAGACATGGAATGGATGCCCCTGCCCTTTTTTTACATGGATGACTTCCAAATAAAACAAACAATCCTTTGGAAAAGTCTGTGGAACTACAAAAGTCAATCCTAAACAAAGCCATCATTTAAGGAAAATATATAAATTGAAACTGCTTCCCCTAAAAATACTAGGAATCCAAGTGCTATGTTACAAAGCACAACATATTCTTCCTGTTCTTATAGCTTGAACATGTAACCCAGAGCAGCATAATGTCTCAGGCATAATTTATAGTTTTTAAATAATTTGAAAAATCCAAGCTTTTACTTTTGGGAGCAATTGCCATACCTGTTCCAAGGGTGCTATGCACCCCACACCCTGGACCAGAAACAATCCAGTCAGAATTTTATTTTACACCTCCACCACCCAGGCAGTGTCTTTCATGTTCAAAGAACTGAAGCAGGCAAAGGGGATAGTTAGCTTCTCGTAGGATACCCTGTGGACCTTCCTGAGAAGTGTCAGTAATCAAAGACTTTGAACCGCCTTTGAAATTCCACAACAGATGTCTCTTCTGGACATTTCAAGATCCACTAGGGATGTTTCATCTGGACATGACACTTCCATTTTTTCTTTTAGGCAAATGCCACGGCACTGCATGTGGTAGAAACATATTAAATGTTACTTTATTCAGTTCTATACACCGGGTCAAATTCAGAGCACCACTTATTTACATGAAAGATGATAGAACCATAGGATTCTAGAGTTGGAGGAAATCTAAAGGGTCATCTAGTCCAAGTCCCTGAAATGCAGGAAGCCTGCCCACAGCTGTCCCTGGGTGGGCTTGAACCAATAACCTTCTGGTTAACAGCCAGATGCGCTGACCCATTGCGCCACAAGATTGGCTGATGCAAATAGTTTTCTATTCAGTTTTCATTATTATCCTTGTTTAATAAGAAGGTTCCATACTATTACAGAGAAGAAATATAAGGACAGATATTTACCCTGTAGTAGACCTAAAATCATGCTTCCCCCTTTCACTTTCTTTCCCCCTCTGTTTATGCATTTTAAAATAGTCAATGTTTATCTTGTGTTCCACCTCAGTGCTAATTGACAGAAATGCAATAATGTGGCTTTGAGTAGATCTCCTTACCTAGAAATTGAAACAATTTTTACAGAAGCATGCACATGTTCTGCCCTTGGACCTTAAAGCTAAAGCTGCAGGCCTAAGCACGTACAAGACATTTATGAAAGAACTGACAACTTAAAATGTTTCCCTTTCCACAACTATCCCCTAAATACAATAAAGTGCATTTGCTGAAGTTATATTGGGTCCTATGGGAGGAATTCTGTCTGCCACATGGTGTGTTGGTTTTAGATTCAGGTGAGCTGGTTTGATAGTCCCCACCCGCTTTTTTTCTTATCCATGTCATCTTATGAGTCCATGGATATTTACCAAAAATTAAGGAAGTGATGGGTTTTTGTTTTTGTTGTACATTTACATAATCAGGAAAACAATCATTATTTCAACATTCTAGTTCAATGAACAAATGGAAGTAAGGTTTCCCTACAAGTGGGATAAATGCATTTCCCTATGGACAGTTTATTGAAGTGATGAAGCAGATCATTTTCACTTTCTCACGGCAATGCCTTTTTATACAATAATCAAACCCTCATTTTATCGGTGACTAGACAATATATGAGGAGTTACTGTCCAATACATTTCCACCCCAGCTATTACAGTTCAGAAACAACTGCTTATCCCCCATTTTACAATGAAGAACATTTTAAAAAGTAGCACCTGTGAAAATATTAAAACACTCCCTGTGGAGTTATATCTAGGATGTCTTATTCACACATGTACTGTCATCCAGCGAGGAACATGCCTTTGTGAACCAGCTCTTGCTATCAGACTGAAACTATAGAAAAAGCAGGCACACAAGAAGAAAGACATTGATTGCCACTCAAAATCCACAAGCTATCTGTGATGAAACATCACTTGAACATTTTTATTCTTCAGAAAAACTGTGCACATTGCAATTTTACTGGTGGTTGTTGGTCGGGTAAAAGCCCATTGTCTTGTGACAGTAGATGGATGCCAGTTAGAATCCAATGAAGGAAAGACTGAATACAATTAAGAACCGGAATTAAATTATACTAATGAAAACAGTAATAATAAAAGATTGAACTGTGTATAAATACTGCACAATAGTATATACCTTCTCAATTATTTAAGCCGGAAAATTAAAGCATGTCTCGCATCTGTCAAACTAAAGGACAAAGCTGTTCCATCATTTTTATGGTGTGCAGCTTGGCATGAGAAAATTTACTGTATTTACATTAAGCTATGTTGAGAGCTTCCCAAGAGTGCACATAAGCATTATGTTAACAGCCAGCCATCTTGTTTGACACAAAACAGCTAGCCACCTGGCAATCACATGAGCTCAGCACAAATTGTTTTGCAACTCTCAAAATGCAATCCACACAGAAACATTTCCTAGTCCTGAGTCGGGGCTCCGGTGTGGCAATCTCCAAATCAAGACTGGTTTCATTAAATATATATATTATATGGTGGTGCTAGAAAGTGGCAGTATCCAGGTGCAATTTTGGCCTGTCTCCCACATCTTACAGGCATGGAAGCAGCTAAAGGTGTATCTTAACTTTTGTGAATAATAATGCATATATTTGATTCCTTATTTATCCTTTACAGATGTGCTGTTAGAGAAGTATGTTTATATTGTGAAATGTAACACTGTACTTTTTCTCCACACATGAAGGAACACATACACACACTTTAAGCTATGGCAAGTAGTACTTACAGGCATTGTGTTAAGAACATTTTTTATTAACTGATAAAAATCTCTTGTGTAGAATACTATCCAGTTTAAAACCAAATTCGTCTAGCACTTAAACTTCATAGGCATCCCCCAAATGCTTCATTTCCATGCAGGAAAGCTTCTATCTTCCTCCGCACAAATCAAGCAGCCAAGGCAGTGACATGACAGAATATCTATTTGGAGGGTTATCCAAAAAAGGAGATTGTACCCTTGATGCAAACAGTTCCCTAAGAATAGAAATGGCCCTCCCAGTCCCAAACAAAATCAGTTAACAGGCAGCCAAGAAAATATCAGAACTACAATCAGCTAATTCCCACTCACACTATGTATCTGGCACTAGTTCATGCTCTGCCCTACGCCAGTACCAACTAAGGCAGCAACTGGGAGGCTCAGAGAAGACAGCTGTTTCCCTCACTGGGTTTTTTTAAAAACAAGCTTTTCTCCCTCGCTCCAGTGCTGTGCAAAACAAATCGTGCAGCTGGCCTTAAATCCACCTGTCTCCAGCTTGTCTGCACTCATGTAATTACCAAGAAACTGGCTGTAGCAGGGAGCTTGGTAGAACAGAAAAAGACTTAGCCTATGTACAGAAAGGATTATTTTATGGGTGATGCCATGAGTAGCAAAAATTAAAGGGTATCCCGCTGACATTTTCTGCTAATGAATCCAAAGGCATAGGGAAATTCAATATCATTTTCACCATATTTTTTCATATTTCACCCACCTCAGACTGATGTATCTTCAAATGTACAAGGAAGCATGTTTCAAAAGGTAGCATAATTGGATTGTGCTTTTGGAAGCAGGCCAACAGTTGGCCAAAGTTCACCTGCAACATTGCCCACATCTTGCTAAATAAAACAATTTAACAATTCATGATATCTCTTGCCTTCCAGCTCTGGGTGTTTATGTTTCTCCCAACCATGACAGGAGGCTAGACAAATGAGGATGTTTGCTTTTGCAGATGAACAAGGCCAGGCGAGGCCCAGGGCACCAGCACCTCTGTGTTCTAGTACTGGCCAGTAGGACTTGGCTTACTTCTTTAGCAGTTGTCCTTATTTGTTTTCCTTGGAACTCAGACAGCAGTGCTGCCTCAGAAAGGATGAAAAACATTATCTGGAGTTTCTGTGAGATCTTTGCATTAGTAACTGCTTAACTAGCTTCTGGGTTTCCCTAGGGCTTTCTCATTAAGATGCTATTTTTAGCCTATTTTTAGATCCCATGATTAACCATGGCTTGCCACTATGGTAATGAGGTTAGCCTCCCCCTGGTTCAAAGTATCCCTTCTCTCTTCTCCAGGGTGGCCATGAAGAATTTGAAAGCTTTTGCTTTCTTTAAAAAAATAAAATAACCATAGTTGCTTGGGGTCACTCTCCATGAAAAAAGTAACTAATAAATGCAGATCATCATCATAACAACAGCAGCAGCAGCAACTTGCCATATCATCTAAATCGGATAAACTATGATTAATCTTTACTGGCTTGTTACAACAAACCATGGTTAAGATTTATCGCATTTTAGCGTTTGAACATAGCACTAAACCGGTTGATCAAAAGCAGATAACAATTCCGATCTCTTCCTCATAGCCACTTTGGAGGAAATTCACACATGCAAGACCGAGGCTAGTTTCATTTCCATTATGAAAAACTTTAATTTATTGTGATGTCTGAGCACAGCCTTTGAATTATGTCACTGGGAACTGTTGATCAGGTCTGTTTGTTTAAAAATGTGGATTAAATGAAAACGTTGAGTATCCCAAGCTCTGATGGCACTTGTTACAAACTCAAGTATTTTTAGTCTCTTCTTCAGGAAGGGACAAAACCTCCAGCAGTTCATCAGCACATATATTAACTAGCTGAGTCATACCAAATGTTAGAACAACTCATGAATCTAATATCTACATTCAGCTTGTTTTCTTTCACATTTTAAGAAGACAGCACATTTTAATGTAATGAAAAATGGTTACATGACTAATCAGAGTGAAATGAATATAAATTCCCAGAATTTGAACTAAAAAAGAGGAATCTGACTCAGACTTAATAAGCTGAATTTGGCTTCCTAAGTGAAGTAAAGGTTGATCTGTCCCATAATCTCACCATTTATTATTTGTCTTGTCCAAAGGCAGTTCAGGCAAATTAAAATTTATATCTTAGAAGCTGCACCTTGTTCAGCCTACATGATGTGTATTTATCTAAGCAACTTCCACTGTTGGAAGTTCCCATGGGTTTATTGCCTGATAAGTGTGCAAAGGATGACAAGCTAAGAGTGATTCTAGTGACTTGAGGACCCCTAGGAAAAGAGAGTCGAAAATTAGGAAGCAGGAGGGGCTCAGAATGTGGTTCTTGCTTGCAGTGGCTGCCAACATTTTCTGTTAAATAGTGGGGGGAGGGTGGGTACTGACACTTTCCCATGTAAGCCTCCTGATTGCCAAAATTGCTCAATTTTCTTCCTTTTCCTGTTCATCTCTTTACCCTTTAACAAGCGTATTTTTTCCAAAAAAGATGGTATTGGGTGGGAGAAGGGCTCAGCTCTAGTCAGGGCTAATGCTAGTATAGTATAGTCAAAATCCTTTGCTGAACACATCAGCTGGAGAAACAAATGCTCATGCCATGCACCATTTGATAGCCATGCCCAAACCTTCTCTGCAAAAAAAGTGCCTCATCCCATCAGTCATGATAGCATGCGCTTCCATGTTAGCCATGCATGGAATACACAATGAATGACTGGGACTATGTATACAAAGCACTTAAATTGTCTGTCTTTTACAAAAATTAAAACACATCCTCATTAGGAGGATCACCAGTATCCCTGGTTACTGTCACCAGACATTTCATTGTTGGTATTACTTCTCACCCTGGATTTTATGTGGCCCAGCGACTGGGCTTATCTTTACAACTGCACTTGTTGATAGTTATGATGAATCAAGAGAACACGGAGCTTCTGCTTCTTGTGGGTTAACAACACGAAAATTTTGCCACAGAAGATGCGAGCCACAGAAACAACGGCTGATTAGACTGAGATTAAGGATGGATAATATTAGTTTTGAATTTGAAAAATACCCAAAATGCAGAGACATGAATGAGGATGATTATCTCTAGACATCTGAGGCCCCAACGTGGGAGGTCCCAAGATTTTTTTTATAATTGGAATATATAATTGGTGTATTGTTATTATTGTAATTTGGATCAATTTGATTTAATTTGTTATTAATTGGAAGATTGATATTGAAAATGAATAAATTCTTTTACGCCCCCTCAAAAGGAGGACACTGAACTTCTTCCAACCACCTTGGTGAATCATTGCTGGTGTTACACAATGGCAAAGGCCACAGGCAAGATGAAGAGCTTCATTCCTGAGGGCAATAAGTTTCCATTGAATTGATTTCGAAGTGTCCATGGTTTATCATGGAAACAACTGAGCTGCTGTGTATAACAGGAAGGGTGGTGGTCTTCTACATGCCAACCATTATGGCCCAGTGGAACTTTTATAGTTGTGGAATGAATTCTGACAGCATGAAAATACTAGCACAAATATGTCCCTAACTCCAGTGAAACTTTTTTCTATCAGTATCTTCTTGTGCCGGTGATGCAAGGGTGTTTAGGAGTGTACCTATTCTGCTCAGAGAACGATCTTTCTGTATGTATATAGGAAGCTACCTTATACTGAGTCAGAGCTATTGGTCCATCTAGTTCACTATCATATCAACTGGCTGACAGTGGATCGCCACTGTTCCACATTGGGATATTCTCAGCCCTACCTGGAAAAATCAGGGATTGAGCCTAGGACCTTCTGCATGCTCTACCACTGAACTATGGCCGTTCTGAATACACATCTGACTGCTACTAACAAGACAAAAATATAGTTGTCAACAAGTCTCAGTTAAAGGAGTGTTTATTCCCCCAAACCTTTGAAATTTCTCTGCTTCTGAAAAGAAAGATCGGTCTGATTTGTTAAATTAATCACCAACATTTCTCAACAATGCTTCAAGCTTCAAACAAACTTATTTTTTAACATCAGCATTTGATATATTATGCTGCAAGTATTTGAAATGTACAGTTATCTTTCATCATTAAACTTTCCCTGGTTTTATACTCTGGAGAGTACAGCTTAACAGGTGGGTATAGGCCCTAGCTGCCTGAAACTACCATATGCTGTAGGAAAGAAAATGAATACTCTAGCAGAAGTCTGCTAAGCCAGTTGGTGTTTGCATTTTAGTCTGCAT